CCACCCTGCTCTCAAATCCTGTGCTCTCTCCTCCCCCACTCTCAGGGCTGCATCCCCTGCTCTCAGAACTGTGTGCCTCCACCCTGATCTCCCACAGGGTTTGCCCTGTGCACCAACATGGCTTCTTGCACCACTGCCTCCAGCAACAGTTTACCGCAGGACAAAATCTGTAGGCCTGTGGAACAGCATGGACCAGAAACAGCTATATTAACTGTGTAATATGTTGTGTTTACTATAAACATTAAGTCTATCTAAAACAGATAAAATGAGCAAGCAATACAGCAGTAGAAAAGAGAAGCAGGGAGTCCTTTAAAACACTTGCACTGAATTTGCAGATCTGTGTGAAGACATGCTAGCAAACTCAACGCTCATTGCTTTCTAGATCACTCCAAATCTCTGGCCCTGAAACTATGCACATGAGGAGGACCACATTCCACTCCTCCTTTTGTATGGTGGCAGATACCAACTTCCAGATCTATAAGCCACTGTCTGGTATTATAACTCAAAGTGCAGATTCCATCTACCTCATCTGGGCATTTGTAAAGATTGCAGCTTTCTATTAAGTACTTTGCTATTTGTTGGACTCCACATTCGCACAAGAGGCTGTCCAAGATGTTCGTCTTGTGAAGTGTTGTACTTGTGAAGTGCCCATATCCAGATCTCAGTCTGTTCAGCTTGATACACACTTCTCTGTCAAAAGTCATACCCAATAGAGGCTTGTTTGGTGTTGGTATAAAATGCTATAGGAATAGGTCTGACCATTCCCAGAGGTCGGCCTACTCTGTTGCTGCCCATAGGTTTGGTTCAGCATTCCCAAACTCTTCCAGGAGCTTGTAGGCTTCATGTACAAATGGTTTACAACTTTTAAGCCTCTTAAGCCTCCATCTGTTTGGGTCTTCAGTTAGCGGTTGATGGAGCTTCAAACAGTTGACGGATTTCGATACTTTCCACATTGCACTGTCAGAATTTTAAACTGAAAGCACTTCTGTGTTGGTTGCATTCAAGGACACTAGGGACAGGAATTTATCACAACTGAAGCTTTGGAATACTGTTCCTTTTATATTTCTAATACAGTGGTGAAAGTTACTGTGAAAATGCGCTAGTATTTTAAACAATAAATAATATGCATGTGCATATTTGTTAGAAACGTGTGTCCAAGGCCATTCATTAGAATGTAATCTTGCCAAAATGTATTCAGAGCAAGAGTCTAAATTAAGTGCAAATTGAAAGCTAAGGGTGGAGACAGGAAAAAGCAGTGCAGAGCTTCAAAAAGAAAAAGCCTACATATGGCAGAAAAAGGGATTAGTCAGCTTCTCTGTTTAATAGATGATAGAAGATGGCGTAACAAAATGATTTAGTTTTATAATGGGAATCTTTTAAATGTAAGCACAAAAAAGGGAAGAGAGAGTGTGAGTAAACAAAGCCGCTAAAATGGGGGAAATTGTTTTCAATTGAGAGCCTACCTCCAAAGCATGGTGAGTAGCCAAGTCATTTTTGTTTGTAAATGTTTCAAATTAAAGGCTAACTTGAATGGAGGAGAGAGAAAAAATGTCATTATTTTATTGCTGAGGAAAACCTTCTTCATATTGAAAACAAGGAAGTTAGGCAGAAAGGGATAAGATTCACTATTCTTCTCCTGAATTTACTGCACTGCTATGAGGCAGCAAAACAACTGGGAAGCCAAAGGATCTGTTCAGGGGAAGAGAATTCCTGACTGGCATAGAACTGATACACTTGCCCCTCATCTCCTAGCCCACCACCAATACTGATTTTTATGAAACAGGCTTGGGAGGAAATGTGTGACTGATGCCCACTATGTTCCAATGATTCTCATCTGCTCAAAGTTGCCTCTCCAGCCAAGGGCCAATAGGAGGCTTCTCCTTAGCTCCCAACTACCCCCCGTCCCAACTGCCAAGGGATATGGGGCAGTAAACCCAATAAAGTCACTGATATAGGCTCATCTGATCAGCTCTTGCCACTACAGCAACAACTGACTGGGCAACCTGGCAACAGCTGATTGGATAGGGAAGGGAACAAGTAGAGTTGCCCACCTCTGTTCTGGTGACTCTGGGCAGTCAGGGGATGTCTTTAACTGTTGCTGCAGGACAGGGTCCCAATTATGGGTCCTGCAGTGTCAACTGTCAAAAAAACTGCCTTGCTGTGGCATCAGCAACAGCCATGATGAGTGGCATTGGTTCTTGCTGGTGTTCTGTGGCAGTGGCAGCAGCTCTTCCTGCTGCCAGTGACACCAGCTCTTGCTGGTGCTCCCATGGCAACATGGCAGCAGGATCCCAGGAGGGCTCTTTGCCAACTTGCCATTGCTGGGCAGGCTGTGAAGGAGCCATCTGCTCTTCCTCTGGCCTTCCTACAAAAAGTAGCGCTACAGAAAAGCGCCTGTTTGAAACATGTTTGAAGCACCACAAACAGCCTGAATGGATGTCTGCTTGGTTTTTGTAGTACTATAAAGACATATATAGCACTGCAAAAGTAACATGTGTCCAATAAACATTCATTTTGGCTCCAGTTATGCTGGGGCCCAAGATAGACTTCAGGATCAAGAACTTGGAAACATGATTTAAAGCTACCTTGCCTTTTCTTTCTTCCTTCATTTACACAAGCTATATCTTAGCTGTAGCTGACAATCTAGCATAGAAGCTGTGGGGCTTAATGAATGTAAAATGTATGTTACAGTACAATCTGGTTCCTAAAATGTGTATGCATTTATATTCCTGTCTGGAAATGCAGAGCTTATTGTAGAGGACAATTACTTTTACTTCATTGTTTAAGATAACATAAATAGAGAGATGTAGTTTGCCATATTAGTTGGAAGTTAGGCAAAATGCAGGACAGGGTGGCATTTTACAAACCAACTCCTTCGAAGAAACATGAGCTTTTGTCAGCTCTAGCATACTTTGTCAGATGCTCTGAATAGACTTGAAGAGAGCAGGGGTAGTAAAAAGAAAGGAATAAAGTTATTTATATAGGAAGGAACAGGTTAGGGAATGTTTAGAAAAGCTGGACATGTACAAGTCCATGAGGCTGGACATGATGCACCTGATGGTGCTGAGGAAGTTGGCTTGTGAGACTGCATAGCCGCTGCCCATTACCTTTGAAAACTTGTGATGATTGGGAGAAGTCCTGGAAGACTGGAGAAGGACAAAGATAGTGCCTATCTTTAAAAAAAGGGAAGAAGGAGGATTTGGGGGATTAGAGACTGGTCAATGTCACCTCAGTTCCTGGAAAGATCATGGAGCAGGTCCTGAAGGAATCCATTTCTAAGCACTTAGAGGAAAAGAACACGATTGAGAACAGTCAGCATGGATTCACCAAGAGCAAGTCATGCCTGATTAACATGACAGCTTTCTATGATGCAATGACTTGCTCTGTGGATGCAGGGAAAGCAGGGAACACAATATACCTTGATTTTAGCAAGGCTTTTGATAGACTCCTACAAATTCTTGCAAGCAAGCTAAGAAAGTATGGGTTGGATGAACAAACTATAAGGTGGACAGAAAACTGGCTGGATGGTTGGGCTCAAAGGGTAGTAGTCAATGGCTCAATGTCTAGTTGGCACCCAATATCAAATGGAGTGTCCCAGGGATCAGTCCTGGGTCTGGTTTGGTTCAATATCTTCATCAACAACTTGGAAGATGAGATGGAGTACACTCTCAGCAACTTTGAGGATGCTATCAAGCTGGGAGGATTAGTAGATATGATGAAGAGTAGAGCTAAGATTTGGAGAGAGTTCAACAAATTAAAGGACTGGACCAAAAGAAATTCATGAGGTTCAATAAGGACAAGTGTAAAGTCCTGCACTTAGGACAGAAAATCCCATGCACCAGTGCAGGCTGGGGGCTTATTGGCTAAGCAGCAGGGCTGCAAAAAAAAAAAAAAAAAAAGACTTGGGGGTTACACTAAACAATAATCTGAATATGAGTCAACAGTGTACTCTTGTTGCAAAGAAAGCTAACAGGATACTGGGCTGCATTAGTAGGAGCATTGCTAGTGTTCTCCACCTCTCTTCAGCACCGGTGTGGCCACTGGAGTACTGTATCTAGTTTTGGGTCCCCCATTACAAAAAAGATATGGACATAATGGAGAGAGTCCAGCAGAGGGCAATGAAAATAGGGGGCTGAGGCACATGACATATGCGGTTGGAGCCACACATATAGCCCATAAGGCTGGGGACCCATGGAGTCCAGGGAAGTCCATCAGGACCATGTCTGACCAGACGTGAAGGCAGCCTCCCTACATTACATTTTACATCAAGACATGGCGGGCGAGAATAGAGGGTTCCCATTGGGTCAAATTGGCATGGTTGAGGGGCCTTAGGAAATTACAGCCATCCTTAGGGATCCCGTCCTGTGACAGTTATGTTATATTACGTTACGTTGCATATCCCCAATATAGTTATATTTATTGATATAAATAATAATAGTTATATTATGTGTATATATATATGCAAAACTTACAGCTGTAAAAGCATTAGACTTAAAAGGAGAGATTTTTTAATTTTCTATTTCACTTTTGAATTCTGTTCATGTACATGTTTTTGCTATAATTTTATATAAAGTACTATGTTGGGAAGTCATGCTTTATTTAACCTTTGGGCTGGGAGTGTAAAATGGAGAAGGAACTCAAACAGTATCATTCTTTGTATGGTTTAGCAAAATGACATTGCTGTTAAAGGTGTACTGAAAACACAACGCTATACCACAACTGCAATAATTGTGAAATGTTTGATATGAAAATATACCCATTAAAACAAATTCACTGAATTCTCCTGAGATCAATCTATGTCCCAAATGAAAGATTATGGGGGATGGCTTTAACAGAATTATGTATGATAGAAAACTCATGTGATGACACTTAGTTTCATGGAGAAAAACAATCTACTTAAGTACTGGGTGATAAGCAAGAATTCAGCAAGTAGTTTTCAAAAACTTACAACTAGTCTGTGCTGAACTTTGAAATTGTACACACTACATAAGAGCACATACCCATCTGACAACCAACATTCCAGAATTCTTGAGGATTATAATTAGAAGAGTTGGTTCTGGTCCCTTTTGGATAGATCCTTGCAATAAATCTGGCAGTATGCAAAACAAATTCATTTGCTGCAAAAAATAATAATAAAGAATTGGTAAGACAAGCATTACTAAGAATAGATCACAAAACTTTTAAAGCTGATCCTATTTTATATAAATGATGAGATCATGTGGCGGGGGAGGGGCTGGCACAACCTACAAAACCAGGCTACAAATTTTTTAAAATATTTCCTCACACATCTGATGTTGCCTTATTAAGTATGTGTGCTACTTTGAAACAACTCAATAATACAGTACATTAATTATCACTATTAAGGTAGTAACTTAGGTGCTTCCTCTTGGGGGAAAAAAAAATCACATCTTTTGTTGGTGATGGGGGTTTAGTGTATTTTTACTTCAAAACTAAGCATGCTTTTTGGGGGAATAGAGAGGATGAAATACAAAATGGATTAGAAAACCATTTGCTTTTAAAACTGTTCAACAAGAAAATACCAGCTCAAGCTGGAATGGCCAAAAGCTGTTAGCATTTGATTGCTGTTTCATGGCCTACATTCTATGAATTAATAATCTCTGCCCAGTGAAAAGGTGTCCAGGTTACTAAAAATAAAATATTTCATTGACAACCTTGTATATAATCTTCAGAGAGAAACCAACTGCTCAGTGGGCTGATTTCACAGCAAGACATAATCTGTCTTTAAAAAGTCTCTAACCCTTACTGGCAGGGATGAGCTGGCACTGCTTCTACCAACAGTCTTTCTGTCAATTAGACTTAGTGGTCACTGACAGACATTGGGGGGGCACACTTTACCGGAAGAGGATGTGCGTTAGTTTGACCTGGCTCCCCAGTGTCTGTATAGTTTGCGTGCTTCAGCGGGGCTTTTTGACATTTATCTAAAGCCTGATTCAATCAGCTCTTAGATAAAAAAGGCACCACTAAACCACCGGCTCTATATGGACGCTGGGTGAGCTGGGTCTTTTCTGGGCACACGTTGCACTTCAGCAGTGCACTTAGCTGAAAGTAAGACACCATTTGTTTGGGGGTTTTTTCCATGTCTGTAAGCAACCAGTTCTTTCAAATGCTGCTTGCTCCCCTGTTGCAAGCAGTGGTTTGTCAGGTAGACAAAAGAGAAGTTTACTTACAGTCTGCCAGTAAGAACCTGGGCTGGATTTTAGCAACTTAGACCACTCTCCAATGAAACCAGCTAGTGAATCTTTTAGGTCAAACTTTTTCCTTGTAGACAGGTTGCTGTAATGTTCTCTCAGTGCTGCAAGCAACTGCCTAGAGTTAAAGCAATCTGACACAGCCTTAAATTGTTCCTGGGTGCATCTACATGTGAGCTTTACTGCGGAGCTGACTAATTAGCTCCACAGTAAAGCATCACAGTCCACATGTGCAGCAGTATTAGGGTGCAGTACATTTAATTAATTACTGTCCCAGACAGTACTATCCTATGGTAGAGTAATTTACTCTGCTGAAGTGCACATGTAGACAGTGACTGGGGCTGGTTGGGGCATGAGGGTGCTACAGTGCAGGGGCTGCCTGCCACCTAGCTTCACACTGCAGCACCCTTGTGCCCCAGCCAGCCCCTCCACTGCCCCATGCCAGCCTGGGGCTACTCTGCCCCAGCTCAAACTGCTGCAGTCCCAGATGCACATGTAGACACCGAGCCCAGGAGCAGCTGACTCTAGAACAAACTGCACAGGAGTTTATTGTGTCACGCTAATTGCACACACAGAGGCACCCCCTGGACGCATCTACATGAGACGCTTAATGTGCAGAAAACTAATTCTACTGTACTTTAGCATGGTGGGTGAAGCCCATGCTAATGCTCAGTTGATTTAGTCTAATGCACAGTAGCATCACACAAATATCGTTCATCTGCACTAATGCTCAGGAGTGCTGATTACAGCACATTAATTTAGTACCCATTGTTACAGGTAGTAAACTTGATGCGCAGTAATTACGGCACATTTGGAATGTATAGACACACCCCCTGGATAGCAGATTGGAGCAGATCAGCACAGGATTATATTGCTACATAATTCTATTTGGCCTAACACCAGGGTTTGGTCCAGTTAGAGCAAACCAGGTGCTTATGGGGTTTATTCTCTTTAATGTCCATATACCGCGGTGCAATTCTCATTTAGGTTAGTGCATATGTACAGTCACGGTGGAATATAGCCTATTATATAGTAAAAATGTATTCCGTTTCTGTTAGAGTACTGACCACAGCAATTTAATACAAACTCAGCCATGGTCCTTCATAACAAAATATAGTGTATTTAGATTATTCCTTTTCCATACAATGTTGGTTTTTATAAAAACAATAGGATCTTTAAATAAATTATGAACTAAATATTTTCATTTGGAAAAATATTCCATTATTTCTTCATAAAGCAAGCTGAAAGAAGAAGGTACAGTGATATTGACAGGATGTTTCTAAAATTGCATTATAAAACAAAGCAATAGAGTAGAAAACATATGTTTCATAAAGTTTATTGACTGTTCTGACAGCTAAGCAATGAACAATGGCAACATTATAACTTTTATCTGACTAAACCAAAAGACATTACCTGACTGCTTTACCAATTTTCGGGCTTTAAGCTCTCCAATTGAATTATTTTCATAACAGTGCTGATTAGCTCTTTGATTCTCAAAGCTTACAAATTTCTCAGATTTAGTATAAATCACAAGATCTGATAGCTCGAGGGCCAGTTTTATCTTCTTCACCTATAAAAAGATCATGAAATAATGGAAGAATATGCATTGTTATATTTTCACATATTTCATTGTTATTATCAATCCAGAAAAATTTCAATGATTTATGTATTGAGGCTCCAATTCTGATAAAAGATACTTAAATGTCTAGAGACTAGAACAAACTAAACTTTGTCATAGTGTATTTAGTAAATATTAAATACCAGCTACATGAAATTAGTATATTCATGTTCAGAACAGGAAACAACATATTCACCTACTTACCAGTCTCAGAACCTTTTGGGATAGGGCTATGTTAATTTATAATTTATTGGTTGATTTGTCATTTTAATTTTAGTTTGTTGCCTAAAAAACTTATGGATTTTTTTTTTTAGAAGCAGATTGTAGAGGAGGAAAATAGGAATAGTAAAAGGAGTATTGAATGTCATTCTTGTCGGTCAGTGGCATCAAATGTTGCTTATAAAAACAGAAGCTGAGCATGGATTGTATTACTCATTCAATTTCATAGGTTCAGGAAGGCAACTGGCTTCCTGTTTAATGATTTCAGTAATTAGGGGGTACTAATGTTCATAACTGTGTCTCCTACCCAACATAATTTGCATTAGCCAGGTACAGGTATAGTAGCAGTAATGTCTTAAAGCTCCTTTAGGCTGTTTCAGTCAACAGTTTGAATTCTGCAAGAGACAGGAAAGAGTTTTCCGTCAGTCATGTACATGCTGACACATTCTCTTGCAATTCAGGTGAAGTTTACTACTGTGTGAGTTGATAAGTCTTCAATGTGAGAAGTGCCAAGTTCTCACATTTATATGAAGGCACTCTCAGTTATATCAGTTTATAGTTCAAAATAGTTGCAAAATCAGCCAGTGAAAACTGATATGGCACAGGAAAAAAGAGCTTTCATTCTTGTCCACAAATGTGAAGAGCCTTTAGTTTATTCGTGCTTGCTAAGATTCTTTCTTTACTTGAACATAACCAAATTCATCTGGAATAATGCATTTCATTCTGAGCAACTATTTCAAATGAGGAAGAGGAGTAATCCACTCTGCACTAAATGTCCTTACCGATAAGCTACAGTTCACTTCCTTGCTAGCTTTATGGCCTAATGAATACCTAGTAGCTACGTGAAGTGGAACAGCTTCAACAGGACTGAACAACTTGCCCACTTAATCACAGGGAATCCTATAGCTCAGCAGGTAGGGTATTGTCTGAGAGGTGAGTGAAAAGAATTCAAATTCCCTAAGGAAGGGGAGGTAATTGAACTGAAGGCCACCCAAATCCCATCTGAGTGCTCTAACCATGGAGTCACTGGTCAAATGAGAGACCCACTGTGTCTTTCTCCAAGGCTATTTTGTGTGGGGTTAGACATAGCCTGAGGGCATTTACTATATTAGGCCCTGCAAGTGGAATAGGTGGGAAAGTGCCTATTTGGTGAATTTCGATAAAGCAAAGCATCAGCTAAGTGTTGAACAGCTCAGTGCTGTGAAGACTTACTGGATTGCACGTGCACAGCAGCATAAATTCAGTAGCCTACAAGTCATTTCCTGCAAAACCTCAGGCACTAACAGAGGTGGGAGAATTGGTTTCATAGGCTTATATAAAACCTGAAGGTTGGTGAAGCCAGTTGTGATGTGAATGTAATGTGTGTAACAGCAGGAGAAATCAGGGAGCAGTCTGCAGAGCTGTAATGTCTGTTAATTTAGATTACAGTTCCCAGAAACCCCCAGAGGCTGGGGGGCAAGGGAAAAAAAGAAGAGGGAGTTTGAGGCTGGCATAAAAGAAAGAGAGAGCCGACTGCACATGAACCTGGTCAGCGCTACACAAAGGAGTGCACAGGGGAGCTGGAGATCTCACTGGCTCGGTCAGCCAGGACCGTAGACTGCAGGACCTGGACTCAGACTGGGGGCAGCTGCAAGCTGCTGTTTGAGCCCTCTAGGGCAGTGGTTCTCAACCTTTTTTGTACCAGGACCCATTTGCCAAGATCAGTGGCTTGTCCTGACCCACGCCCCCCTGTCCCTGCCAGTGCATGGGAACTGTTCCGTGCCCCCCAGGGCATGCTGGGACCCCTCACTTCCAGCCTGCAGCCCCCTGCCACCCCTCCCCCCAGCTCTGCAGAAGGGGGTTCTCAGCTGCCCCCATGCCACTCGGGCTGGAGTGCGGTGGCTGCAGTGGCTCTGGCTCGTGCAGATGGCAGCAGTGAATCCAGCCCAGCATAGGCTGGAGGGAGGAGGAGGGGAGGCTGATAGCACACCCACCCAGGGCTGGGACTCCTGTGACAAGCCAGGCAGCCTGGTCGTGGCCCCTCCCATCCTCTGAGCAGCATCTCCCAGCTGCCCTGCCCCAGCAAGCACAGGCACCAGCCCTGATGTCGCCAGTTCATTCACACAGCTCTCCCCCCGTCCCCCACACTTGTTCACAACCCTTTGAAATATTCTTATGACCCACTTTTGGGTCGTGACCCACGGGTTGAGAAACGCTGCTCTAGGGACTAAAGACTTGTTTGGGGACACCTCCAGAGGTGTGGCGGGGATTAAGATGCTGAGTGTATAGTCCCACAATGTTGCTGTTTCTTTATCTTTTACCTGTTCCCTGCCTTTGGCCCACTGGCTTCTGATCCTAACCCCTATGATTTTCTATATAAAAGTGGGATTTCTCCCTTGCTTCTTGTATCAGTTTCTGGGGCTGCAGGGTTGGTGCACAGTGGTATATTAAAGGTGGACTTAAAGCATCTCTTGTAGAATTTCCTATATTCAGGCCTCTGGTTTCAACCATTTTATACTGCTGTTACTCACTAACTTTTAATGAAGTTTTTCTGAACTTACACTAGTGTAAGATAAAAATCACATCCAAGGTATGCAAAAGTAATTTTACATGTGCCATGCAAACCACGAGGTAGAACAATCTTAAATTTATTTTGGAAACAAACAATAGTGGCAACAAAGTGAGAAAAGCAATAACCCACCACTTGCATAAAATCCATGTCACAATACATTATTACATGAAAGATCAGATTCTATATTAAAGAATGTACAATGCAGAATTTAAAAAAGAGAGAATGGGAAATAAGACAGCATTTTATTTTACTCCATGATTAACAGACAGAAATCTGGCTCCTAAGAGTAAGAGTTAAAAATCAGGCTCTGTAACAGATGGCAATTATTAAAGTCTCCTAAATACCAGAGGTATTTGGAGTACATCCGGAGTATTGTGTTCAGTTTTAGGCCCCCCACTACAGAAAGGATGTGGACAAATTGGAGAGCGTCCAGCAGAGGGCAATGAAAATGGTGAGGAGGCTGGGGCACATAACTTCTGAGGAGAGGCTGAGGGGAATGGGCTTATTTAGTCTAGAGAAGAGAAGACTGAGGGGGGATTTAATAGCAGCCTTCAACTACCTGAAGGGGGGTTCAAAAGTGGATGGAGCTAGACTGCTCTCAGTGATGGCAGATGACAGAACAAAGAGCAATGGTCCTGAGTTGCGGCAAGGAAAGTTTAGGTTAGATATTAGGAATAATTTTCTCACTGGGAGGGTAGTAAAACACTGGAACAGGTTACCCAGAGGGGTGGTGCAATCTCCATCCTTGGAGGTTTTCAAGACCTAGCTAAACAAAGCTTTGGTTGGAATGATCTTTTGGGGATGGTCCTGCTTTGAGGAGGGGGTTGGACTAAATGACCTCCTGAGGTCCCTTCCAACTCTAATTTTCTATGATTCTTTTGAAGGAAACATGCAATAGGATGGCACTCTAACAAAGGGAGACTACATTAACAGCCCAAATCCAGCTCTGTGTATTTTACTGTGTCCAGCCAGTGTATTTTAGGGCTATTCCTCTGAATGGAACACTGCAGTTTCCAGAGGCCACTCTTCATTAGCACCTGTCAGTTGAGGACTCTTAGTCTAACATGGCTGAAACTTTCCAACTGAAGGATATGGTCTGTGTTAAACCTTATTTTCTGTATTATCATAACAAACTAAATCTATTTAAATGACCCTGAACCTGTTAAGAATCTTATGGCTCTGAATGTGAGGTGTTTGATAGGTGACCTCATCACTTGTTCTAAAAAGGCATCTTGGGCTAATTATGGCTAAAGTGGGGAGCCCCAGCAAAGAGCTGCTGTGGGTGTTGATCACAAGGTCTTAGCAGGGACATTCTGTTGTGGAATGGCAAGGGATCTATTGCTATGCTAGGAATGCCATGCCTTTTCTCAAAGTGTTATCCTTAAACACCCTCTCCCAACCAGGTATGGACCAAAATGAAAAGGAAGTTAGAAAATGGAAGAAATCCTAACTTAAAACATACTCAGAGAGAGTGCTACTAAGGGATTTCTGCCTTTGAGTACACGGGCAGAAAACTAGGTAGTCAATGTCAGTGTTGGTCAGCACAGGCTGAAAATGTCGTAATTATGAGGGCATGCATACCTCTTTCTTGCCTCTGAGGCTTGGGAAAAACAGTTTCAAATCTAATGCAGCAAACTATTTCCATGTCAGTTGGTGCATCTCCACACATGCTTTACTGCAGAGTAGTCTAATTTGCTCTGCAGTAAAGCATCACTGTCTACACATGCACCGCCATTGGGATGCAGTAAACTAATATACTCCAGCATAGGATAGTACCATAAGACACAAATACTATTTTACACCAGAGTAAATAACTGTGATAAAACGAATATGCAGATGGTGACACAAGCGTAAATTGCACCTGGTCAGCCGAGCCAGCAGGAAACCAGAGCAGGCCACAAGTGTCTCTGGCCTAACTTGCTCCACCTGGGCTCAAGTTGCCCCTGTCACTGAGTGTACATTCAAGTGCTGTGCCTGGATTAGTTTACTCCAGCACAAATTGCGACAAAATAAATTCAGTTGCATTTATTGCACATGTAGGTGCACCCAGTGAAAATAAACACAGAACCATATGTTAATTTTATAGTTTCTATTTTAAGAATAGAATCACATGTTAATTTCTTCAATATCTTGATGATTGGGAAAGACACCTCCAGTTTATGTAAATCACTAAAAACAGGGTTGGGTTTGTTTTTTGGCTTTATTGTAACAAAACAACAGGGAGGATGAGTGGGGGTTGTATCTGGACCCTGTACCTAGTTGTGTGCATGTATCCAGGATATACAGTACTTAAGTCATTGCCAGGGGCTTGTAGAAATGCCAAGAGAGTCAGTGCCACCTCATTAGGGGTCAGCAGAACCCTGATTCTCTTCCTGTGTGTTTCCAGAACAGTCATGAGCCCAGAAGTGCAACTGGTTAACAGTGAGTTGTACCTGTTGCAGCCGCTTGCTAATGGGAGCAACAAGCAGAATAAAACTAAGTTAAAATGTATGAGTTCAGCTAAGATAGATTTTTGCTTTCATGTGAATTTCTTACCCCTACACCTTAAATTTTTCTAAGGATTTCATATCATGAGCTGCCTTTAATGAAACAGACATACTGTCTATTTGCCCTCTTATGTCCTAGTAATAAAAGCATTTTACCTTTGGCTTTTTTCGAGGAGGAGATGAAGATTGTTTTTCTACAGTTTTTCTTTTTGGCTGAGGGGTCTTTGGTGTAGGTTTGCTTTCAGCAGCTTCCTCATCTTCAGACTGGTCTACCTCCTCTTCTAATTCCACTACCTCACCATGTGTGTCAAGACCTCTTCTGAGAATAGTATCCTGAAGAGTTCCAACTTTCTTATTTTTTATCAGTATTTTAAATTTTAGTGCCTGTGGAAATAGGTTAAACAGTAATAATTGCAGGCATACTTCATATCAAAATACTGTATTGCAATATTGCAACTCCTATATTCAAAATCTGTTACAGAAGTAGAATGATGGGTGCCACGGTAGTGTGGAAAAACAAATATCACATAGAAGGAACAGTTGGTAATAGGCAAAAGAGTTCACCAACTGTATTATGTATCTCAGCAACATGCATACCAGAGAACAACCCAACACAGACCACTCCATACAGTCAGTAAGAAAAAGATATCAGTACAAATGAAGTTTGCCACTATGCAGACACAAAATATGAGAACAATAAGCAAGAACAGTGCACAAAGAAAAGAAGGTATTCTGCTCCCATCTGCCACAGAAGATGATTGTGATTTTTGCAGAGAAAACTGGTGAGAGAATAGCTGTTCCATCCTGATGCTAGGTTCAGATACTAGTGATAAATACCAATGATAGCATAAGAAGTATGTATGCACACAAGTGAACAGAGATTATATTCTGTTGTTTAGGAAGCATCACTTTACTTTTTAAAAATACAGATTTATGTAAACACAGTCAATCTCATTTTGATATGTATGTGACCACATCTATAAAAATCATTCTAATTAACTTTTCAGCAAGCAGAAATGCTGGTGCCACTAGATGTACAGTGCATCGTTACCCTGGGTACCAACTTAGGGTTCCATTGTTCTGTTTTAAGGCATATAAGCAGAGTAGGATGTTGATTTTGATTCAGTATATATTGTTCACTTAAGTTAATTTAATAGAGTTTATCAACCTCTTACCTTTATATGCCATCTTTTAAAATGTGCACTTTTATCAAATTGATAATCTTATTATCCAGGCAAGATTTAAAAATAACAGAAGTGGAATGTGCATAATAAGTAAAGTTTTCAGTAGCAAAAGTTTTTTAATTGTTATTTGAAAGCAGAACAATATTCATTTCCAGGTAAATCACAGTACCATATTGATTAATGTGCCAAATGTAAGCATTTAAACTGCCAAAAGTCTTTATAACCCTTAGAGATTTAAATGTAGAAGAAATGCTTTTATGTTTGTTACTCTGAAGTATCTTGCTAAGATCACCTTCGAGAGTTTAAAAAGAAATTAACACAAGTGTGTCTACTTCATGAATATGAAGAATAATTTCACAGTTAAACAGAAGACTCTCAGGCTATAGAGTGCTATTGCTATGCCTCTCTTCTAACAGAGAAAGTAATACTAAACTGAAGTAAGCAACTTGAGGAGTCTGTGGCACTATGTCTTCAGACAACCATGAACAAGAATATTTGTGCCAATTGGTGTGCTTTAATTAAATGAAAGGTGGAATTTTGATTAGGACATGAGATTTATCCCAAGGGCTGTATCTTTTTATTTGGCTTTTTTGCCTAGGGCTTTTTTGTCTAGTAAACATTCCTTGGTTGAGTGAAGAGCACAGTTTTTGTCAGTAATATGATCACAGTTTACATAATAAAAACAAAGTATTTATAAAACTGTTAAAGGCCAGCTTCCAAAGAGCACAACTTTCCATTTATGCACCAAAATGAACTCATTAGTTTTTCAAAAATGTTCTGCATCCAGTGGCTCCTTAGAAGTCATCCCATCCAAAATACAAATACCCTCTAGCAAACTGCCTTAAGAAGGAAATATTACAGCTCATAAATCATACAGCAAACAAGAAGACACTAACATAATAGTGTGGCTGAAAATAGCTGCTGGAGATCAAAAATTACTCCGTGTTTAAGCACTCCTGACTGAGTACAAGAGAAGCCACTTTGTTTAGGTACTTAATGAAAGCAGCTGGCTGCTAAGCTCTTTTAAAAAGTCTGACACCTAATAAAGAAAAGCACCAAAGCCCTTGACAGACATTCATTTTAAAGGTGTGGTAAGATCTGAGTCATAATTTCCACAACCATGCTGCCCGCTTTGCTAAATGTACATGGTAGGTTGCTCAGTTTTGGGATTAGCGATCAGATCCCAATTGCACCCTACTTGGCAGTGCAAGGTGAGCATGGGATCATGATCCTGGGCTCCCCATGCACTCAAGTTGAAAGGCAGGTGCCTGACAATCAGCTGATTGTTGGCTGGCTCTGGGACCACACCGCAGGCTCAGACCAGCTCCAGTACTGTTCACTGAACTGGCAACAATAAGCTAGCTGAATTGGGACTGCATGGGGGCTCAAACTGGCTGAGTGTTGGCTGGTAGGAACTGCACCAAGGCCAACTGGAGACTCTGAAGCAGCCCTAATCCTGCCACACATTTAATTTAAGGTGTATGGAAACCAGCCACAAAAATATTACACACATAATATTTACATGGTTTTATACATTTTTGTGTTGTATTTTTGTGGTTGGTTTCACTTTTTGTAGCACTAACAAAACCCTTTTTGACTAACAGACTACTCATGTCTTAACTAACATCTTTAAGGGACCCAAGAGAAATAATTTTGTCCATGATTCTTCATTCTATATGAGCAAAACCATGATGAGATGCAGAGAGGGACATCACAAGGAAGGATCCCAAGCAGTTTGTCTCTGGGTTAAGTTATAGCTTCACAGACAATGCTAGTGTAATTTATGGTGCTGGAAGACTGGACCTCTGCTCATTTACCCCTGCTCCAACCATTTCTGGCCCATGATGCCTCTAATCAAAGGAGTGAGCAAGGGGTTGACACAGAGCACATCTACATGGGATGCATGAGCCTGGCCTTGCAACGCATGCAGTTGTATAAGCAGCGAAATGCACGTCAGTGCACAGAAAATGGCAGCGGTCCACTGTTGAACTAAAATGCATCAAAGGTGTTTTAGTTCGAAAGTGCACCACCGCCATTTTCCCCACACTGACATGCATTTTGCCAGTTATGCAAATGCAGCACAGTGCATGTCAGCTAGCATGCGGAGCAGACTTGATTGAGTCTGCTCCAATGTGCCAGATCTCCAGTGCATCGAGCATGGAAAAGTTTGTGTATAAATGCCCTTAATGTCTACACATGTGCCCCTATTAGGCTGCAGTAAACTAATTAACTCTGCCGTAGGTTAGTACTTCTAAACAGAAGTATTAGCCTGCAGCAGTGTTATTTAGTGTGCCACATCATATGTGTAGATGCTGATGGGGCTGGGTGGAACATGAGGGTACTTCAATGCAGGGGCTGCCTACCGGCTAAATAAAAACTGCTAAATAATCAAATAATCAAGTTTAAAATTGCAACAACCTTCTATTTCAAGTATCATAGTGCTGACTCAGTTAAAAGGGGAAAATGGGCTCTTTGAGGAAATTGTAACATTTGAAAACAGTCAATCTATACCTTATAAAATTCAGCATGAATAAAGACAATAAGACAGTAGGATTATAATGCAGGATTAACCCTTCTTTAAATACAAATGAAGATTTATTCAGTTTCAAGAAAAGAAAGTGGTTACTTCGTGTGTCTTTTGGCTAATTTATTATTATTATTATTATTTTGTAGAAAGCTTCAGAGGATAAAAGCCAACAGAGGTTTTTTGCAAGGTATTTTATCAGATTTATATTACACGTAAGGAGTGGGACTTTGGAAGTATATTGCTATACTAAGCAAAGTTCCAAAGAAACAATGCTGTGGTTTTTATCTGGTTTATACTGTACTTTCACCAAGTTATCAAGGGAAAAAGAATATACATATATATGAGCATGCTCTAAAATTGTTACGTTCTAAAATTCACTGTCAATCTGTTTTCACTGTTCTTGTGGACATCAAAGAATGTAAACCTATTGTGAATGTTCCCAGTCCTAGCCTCTTCTCCAACTATGACATTGGTCAGTGGTAGCAAAACTGTTCTTGAGTTGCTGTTGTTATGGCAACAAGCAGTAACTATGCTCTTCTTCTGTGCTTCCCTACCTGACGTTCAGCCCCATCCTCAGCTACATGTTAGGAAAGCTGAATTGTCATATTTTTCTAGTTCAGTGAAGCTGGTCATTGTCAAATGCTGCTGGCATTATTGCCAAGAAATGCCTCTCTACCTTCCCCGAATGCTAAAAAGACTGGTTGAACAAGAAAGATGGTAGAGCAGAACACCGCATGTCCCCAGTGCAAGAAAGTTGTTAAGATAAATGAATATTCTTCTACCGCTATGGGCCAAGCTGTCTCTAGGGGTACCTACAGATGTTAGGGGCTGCACTCTAACTCATGGCAAGTGTCATGAGTCAGAGCTCCCCAACCCAAGGGTCAGGGTGGGCAGAGCTGGAGGCTACCTGCACTGGCCCTGCCCAGCAGGTGAGGGTGCTCCAGCAGCCTCCTCAGAGGCTGCTGAACCACCCCTCTCCCTAGCCCTGCCCCACTCCAAGCTCTGAGGCTGTCAGCAGGGGAGGGAGGGGAAAAGAAGCAGTATGGAGCTACTGACTGGGCCTTGCCTGCTGGAGCAGGAGCTGGAGGTGGAGGGGAGGGGGTGGGGTGGGATGGAGCCCTCTTGTCTCATGATGCCCCTCCCAAGCTATCCCAGATGGGGTATTGAGGAGGAGGAGCCAGGCCAGACCCGGGTGGTAAGGGACCTCCACTCCATGCCCTTCACCCCACAATCCAGCTCAGGCCAAGCAGAGCAGCTAGAAGTTGCTGCTACCACCCTCAAGAGGCCAGGCCAGAGCTGGGGGGTGAAACAAAGTCCCCTTGCCTCACAGGCCTGGCCTGATTCCCCTACCCTATTTAGGTCCAAAACCAAACTGATAGGGGTCAAGAAAAATGGACGATTCCAAATATTACCATAGGTGTTTCTACTGTATCTTTTTCATCAGTCTTTCCCAAAACAGGAGGCTAAAGTCCAGGAAAGATTACCAGTGTCAAGACATATCTTCTTAGGCAAGGGACTAGTCATGGTTCTTTTTAAAGCTGAGAGCGAAGGCTAATAATTGTAGTTTCTTTTTGGTGCATGCATAACTTTGTCTTACTGAATTGCATATCAATCATTTCATTTTCTCTTTTCCAAATTGTTTGAACTACAAACAATACTTGATAATTCATAAA